AATTTCTTTTAAGATCAGGGATTTATCTAACATTGGTAAGCACCTTAGTCAGACCATCATGAAGTGTTATTCTAACATTTCCTATTCCCTTTACCTAACACATAGCATTGTTTCCCATCAACACCTTCCCACCATCTACCTACTGAAAAGCGTTAAACCAATTCCTATTTGATGTCATATGAAAAGTACAACCTGTATCTAAAATCCATTCCTCACTTGTTTTTCCCTTAGAGACTATTAAAATCTCAAAAACTGTCATAACCATCAGCAACTACATTTGCACCACCCCCTCCCTTTTCCTTCTCTGATTTCTTTTTGTTTCTTCTCTCAGGGCAATCACACTTAAAATGCCCCTCTTTATGACAAAAGAAGCATTTTCGAGCACTAGACTTAGACTTAGATCTTTGTCTACCCTGATTGTGTGCCTCTTTTTTTCTAATGTTTCTTTTTAGATCTTTCCTTAACATTTAAACCTTCTCCATCTCCACTAGACTTATCCTTTGATTTGTTTTTAGAATCTTTTGCAGAAATTGCCCCTGTTACTTCCTCTAATCTCAAAGTTTGTCTTCCATGCTTCAAAGTATCCACAAAGTTAGAGTATGATTTAGGCAAAGAATTTAACAATAACATAGTTGATCTTCATCAATAATCTCAACATATATACTCTCTAAGTCCTATACTAATTTCAAGAAATCATCCATATTATTTGATAAATATTTCCACTCATCCATTTGAAAACCAAATAATTTTCTGTTTTAAATAAAGCCTGTTAGGAACTACTTTAGACAAATAAAGAGAGTCTAACTTACTCCAAATCTCAGCGGCTGTCTTCTCCTTCTTGATTTCCCAAAGAACTTTATCACCTAGCCCAAGAATCAAGGAACTATTTGCTTTATCCAGCATCTCCCTCTTCTCAACTGCTAGCATGGATGTTGGAAGCTCTGATTCATCTTTCAAAGCAAAAGCCAAGCCTTCTTTTACCAATGCAGGCTCCATCTTCATTTTCCAAAGCCCAAAATCACTGGTACCTGTAAATTTCTCCAACTCAAATTTAGTAGACATGATTTTAGATTAAAAACACCTTCAACCTGGCTCTGATACCAATTGTTAGGGTTATAATCTAAAATCTAAATGAGAATAAACAACCAACTACAACATAATGAACAATGGATTTAAAACAGACTTCAATGAAAATAAGAGACACAACGATATATATTGGTTCGGCACTCAAGGCTTACATCCACTCTCCAAGACAAAGAAGGATTTCATTCATTCACCAAGGTTAATTGATTATAGAGTATAGGTTAACCTCAATATAAAACAATCAAGAAAAATCACCTCTAAAACCTAGCCTCCCTTGTTTTTCCCTCTACCCTTTGTAAACCCAAGAGTAAGAATTTATACAAGAGAGATAACCCCTTTAATCAGCCTCCACCTGGATTTATATTCCCTTCTAGCCATGAGATGATAATCACACTCAATCTTGCCATTCATTTTTATCGCCATGAGCAAAAAGATGAAGAAATGGAGAGTGTTCTTTTAGTTGAGCAAATGACACGAAGCAAAACAAAATAGAAGTGGTCCTCCCATTCAAAACGGTGTCACTTCTCATATTTGGGTTTCTTTGACTTTTCAACATTGCTGATGTGGCAAAGCATGTGCCACATCACCACACATAAAATATTTTAACAATGGATCGGACTATTTCTATAATGATCCTCAGTAGATGTTTAAGATGCACCACAAAAAACCTGATCTCAATGGAGGGGACTACTAGGAAAGCCCTACGGTTGAAGTGAGGTTGAAGGTTGTTAAGCAGAATGTAGCAAAAGCAGTTTTTAGAATGGTCTAGGATTTCTAGTTTTTAGTTTTCTATAGGAACCAAAGTGTTGCATTTAGAAGTCAGTCTGGAGGACTAAAATGTAAAAAGTAAAAAGTAAAAAGTAAAAGCAATACTGTCCGTTTTGGCTTTGCTACAATTATATTATAAACATCCCACTCAACTTCTTCATTCTTTATTTTGGGTTGTAACAACTGTTTCTGTTTTTTAGTTAGTAAAATTTATTTCTTCAATTTGCTTAGCTTTTCTTCGAATCTGGAAACTTCTTTGAAGTCTTTTGCATTAGCTTGCTAGTATGTCTCTGCATGACACTTCAGCTTTTGGAAACACAGTAGTTACCACTACATCAGTTTTAGAAGCTAGAAATCTAACTTCACAACCTGCCTCTGCACATATTTCATCTCCTAGACATGTTGCCACTCCACAAACTTTGAATGATCAAACTTGGTATGTAGACTCATGAGCTACCAATCATATGACTGTTGACGAAAGCAATTTCTTGTTCAAATCCAATTACCTAGGAGATTCTCAAGTGTAGGTTGGTAGCGAATAATCGGTCCCCATCACTCATATAGGTGTGTCGTTTATAACCTATCATACTTCTCATAGGTTGTTGCATTTGAAGAATATGTTATGTGTGCCTCAAATAGCTAAAAATTTGCTTAGTATTTCTCAAATAATCAAAGATAATAATGTAATTGTAGAATTTCATTTCGAACATTGTCTTATGAAGGACAAAGTTACTAGAGTTGTTTTTGTTTAAGGCAGTCTCAAATTATACTGAAGGTTGCTCTTCCAAGTTCTTCACTTCTTGGTGTTAAATAACTTGACTTTGCACCTCAGCTTGCGTATGCTCATCTTCATGAATTAGCTTCTCCTAACAATAATAAAACCTGATCTAGTTTGAGCTCAATCCCAAGTAATTTAGATTAAGTAGTTGATGATCATCTATGTAGGAAGAATAAGCCATCTGATGTAAAGGCCAACTGCACTATGCTATGGTATGTTAGATTAGATCATCCTCATGTAAAAACTTTGCAGATTGTAATGAATAAACTGCTTGTATCTGGTTCTGTTGCTGAAAATAAAGTACTATTTTGTGAAGATTGTCAATTTGGCAAAATGCAACAATCCTCTTTTCCCATTTCTGATTCAAAAACCAAAGCACCACTTGAGTTAGTTTACTCTGATTTATGGGGCGCTGCACTTGTTATTTCTTCTGAAGGTTACAAATATTATATAGTTTTTGTGGATGGATTTAGTAGATATATATGGATTTATCCATTAAAATTGAAGTCTAAGGCTTATGGAGTATTTACTTAGTTTCATTGTCTTGTGAAAAGATAGTTGAATGCTAAACTTAAGGTTCTACATACTGATTAGGGTGGTGAGTTCAAACCTTTCTCTAGTTATCTACAATAACATGGTATTTCATTTAGGCACCCTTGTCCTTACTTACATCAACAGAATGGTAGAGTGGAAACAAAACATAGACCAATTACAAAGTTTGGATGGCTTTGTTAGCTCATGCTCGAATGCCCCTGTGTTTGTGGTGGCAGGCTTTTACAGTAGATTTGTTAAATAGATTGCCTTCAGTTCCTATAAGGTATACATTTCCATTCTAGAAATTGTTTGATCAAGACCATAATTATAGTGAGCTTAGAGTATTTGGTTGTTGTTGCTATCCTTACATTAGGCCTTATTAAAAACATAAATTGTCCTATCACATTGAAAAATATGTATTTCTTAGGTACAATCCTGCACGTAAATGCTACAAATGGCTTTCTTCGTCTGGTAAGTTATACATTGTCAACCAAGAAAAATTTAATGAGATTGATTTTCCTTTTAAGAATGGCTTTCATTGATCTTCTTTCAGGGGTACTAAATCTGCAAGCTTAATAATACACACTGATGGAGCTACTTCTTGAAGAATACCTCACTGCTCAAAGGTTTCCACTAATTCTATTCTAGCTCCTGATTTTGATCCTACTTATTCTTGTAAAATGCAGGGCACTTCTCAAAATTTGGGATCAATTTTGGCCACTACAGATACTCCTGCTCTTACTTCTGATTCTAGTTATTCTCATAAAATGCAAGACACTTCTCTAAATTCTAGATCACAGTTGGCCACTGATGATACTCAAGTCTTTATTTCTACCTCTCAAAATGCTACTACACAATTGGAAGGACCATTAAGTCCAATTGCAACTTCTTCTACTAATATGTATGTTGACGCAATGCAAAGTGTGCATAGAGGTAGTTTTGCCATCTCACAACTTGCTGCAGTTTAGAATATTCATCCCATGATTAATAGGTCTAAAAGTAAGCTTCAAAATTTAGAAGTTCGCTCTTATCTTTCTGCTCATCATCTCTCATCTGAACATAAAACTAGTTCAGAAACATTACTAGTTTTAGAATGGAAAGCAGCCATAGAAGATGAGTATCAGGCGCTCATGAGAAACCAAACTTGGGAGTTAGTTCCTATGCACCAAGAATGAATATAGTTGGTTGTAAGTGGGAGTTCAAGACAAAACTTAATTCTGATGGCTCTATTCAAAAATAAAAAGATAAATTGGTGGCCAAATGATTCCAACAAACACCAAGCCTAAACTACTTTGATACCTTCTCACCTGTTACTAAAGCAACCACTATAAGAATCATGTTCTCTCTTATAATGCATAACAACTAGGACATCCAGCAAATTGACATCAACAATGCATGTCTAAATGGAAAGTTAACTGAGAATGTATTATGGTACAACTTGAGGGTTTTTTTAACTTGTCTGAACCTCTACATGTTTGCAAGTTAAAGAAGGCACTAAATGGTTTACAACAAGCTCCCAAAGCCTGGTTTGGTAAACTCAAAATTGTCTTGCTTAAGTGATGTCAACTTGTTTCACTTCAAGAAATGAGGTCAAGTAATCTATTTCCTTGCATATGTGGATGATATTTTACTTATAGGAAATGGTTCTTAATTAATTTCTTAGATTGTGGCTAATGTGAACAACAAATTTGCTCTCAAAACCTTAGGGGTATTGCATTATTTTCTTGGCTTTGAAGTTCAAAGAGATGCTTTAGGCTTGCTTCTTACTCAAACCAAATATGCTCAAGAATTACTCCACAAAGCTGGCATGTCAAATTCCAAGCCTTGAAATACACCTATGGCAGTTGGAATCAAGCTTAGTAAAGAAGACAGTGAACCATTTGATTACTCTACTTTATACAGAAGAATTATTGAAGGATTACAATATCTTACTTTGTCAAGGCCTGATTTAGCTTTTACAATCACTAAGCTAAGTCAATTTCTTCAAGCTCAAAATGTTGCTCATAGAAAAACTCAACATTTTATCCTTGAAAGGTATCCTGATGTAGATTGGGCCAATGATGTTAGTGATAGGAAATCAATGAGTGGCTATAACATTTTTCTTGGGTGGAATCTAGTCCAATGGAGCTTTGGAAAGCAAAATGTTGTTTCCTTATCTTCAACAAAGACTGAGTATAGGTCACTAAGTCAAGCTGCAACTGAGTTAGTTTAGCTCCAGACCTGTTTCAAGAACTTGGAATTGAAGTCAAGGACATTTTTGTTTTGTAGAGTAACAACATGAGTGCAAGAGCCATATCCTCTAATCTTGTATTTCATGCAAGAACCAAGCACATTGAAATAGATGTGCATTATGTCAGGGATTTAGTTGCTGAGAAAAAATTGACTATACAATATGTAGCTACTGAATATTAGATAGCTAACATTCTAACCAAGGCTCTTCTTGGACATAGGTTTTGTTAATGTTTTTGTCACCTTATGATCCTGTTTGGAGTCTTGCACTATTTTTTCTTTTCTGCCATTGTAGGCACACTTGCTGAAGGTGAACACCTTCACAAATATGATCACTTTAGCATGTGTGTGTACACAATACTTTTGGTAGATATTTTCCCCTCAATCACACTTCACACACTCGTTTTACTTTTTGGACAATATTGTTCCTTGTCGATATTCTGTTTTGTTCTTTTACACTTGTCCACCTTTTATTTGCTGTGAGAGAAAAGGAATATTGCTTTTATCTGTGGTCCCAAATTTCTTGTACAAAAAGAAAAACACAAAAGTTGTTATTTAACTTTTTTGTCCCCCAACCCTAGATGCATTGATCTCTATATATTCACTCATTTCTGGCATTTTTCTTTAAGGAATCTGATTACATTTGTTTTCCTCTCTGAATATTCTTTGAGGTTCTCATTTTTTGTTAAGGTTTCTTACTATGATTTGATAGGTTTAGAATTACCATCCTCACTTGTCCTTATGTGAGATCTTTGGATGTTGTTTCCATTGTGACGAGAGCTTGTGTGTAAGTTGTTGTCCTGTCTTCATTGTTGAATCTTGAGAGGAGCTCTTCTTCAACATGATGGTGCTATGCTCGTGAAGCTTGTTGTGAGGACTTGAAGTTCAACCAAAGAAGATAGAGTTGTTGTGTAGAAAACATGAAGTATTGTACAACTTTGGTTATCTTGCTTTGTATTTGAACTTATAAGTATTTCATAGTGAATTTACTTCATCTGGACATGGTCCCATGGATATAGGCTTGATGCCGAACCATGTAAAAATGAGCGTGTTCTTTACTTGCTTTGATTTATGTTTTAATTAAGTTTCTCACAACTCATTTGCACTAAAAATTGAACAACCAACCCATTCCGCATAAGTTTTAAACACTTGGTAATCCTTTAAAACTTTCATTTGGTGTCAAAGTACATTCTGAAGAGTTATTTCAGTTGATCCTTGCTTGTTTTTAATATCTTTAATCTGAGTTTTTGCTTGTTTGTGCTGTCTTTCATTTCGTGTCTTGTTAAGCAGATATGCTCATTCTAATATGTGTGACCACATTTGTTGTCCTATCACTATGAGTTTTTTTGGTGAAGGTGGATCTACTCAGACCACCATTGTTGGAGGGAATTAGCTTTTCCTTCTAGAGACCTAGTGTAATGCCCACATGTAGGTACGTAATTTAATTTATGCTCTTATACCTTTAGTTGATTTTTTTGCTAAAGTTATTTTGAGAGAATGTGAAGAAAATGCCTTAAACTTGCATTAAGGGTAAAATGGTCTTTTCACTCAGAATTAGTTGAAAAAGTGGGGAGTGAAAAGAGGTAGAATTTCATGGAGAATGTATTAAAAATGAGGGCATTATGGTAATTGAATAAGGGACATAGATGGAATTTTAAAGAAAGTGCAAGGGCAAAATCGGAAAGTATGCATATTAATATGAGATACTAAGAGTTCAAGCAAAAAGACCCTATCATTCTCTATGCTCTCTCACGCCACTTCACTCTCAATTTCTCTCATCTCTTCATCAAAATTTCCAAGGATTTTAGAGGGCTTTTAGTTGGATTTTGGTAGAGATTTGATCCTAAGCACCCAAAGGTAAGAATTCTTGCAATAGATGTGAGATTAATTTTTAAAGTGTTGAATTCTTATAGTGTTTATGCTTAGGGTTTTAGAGAAAGAACAAGTCTACCAAAGAAAGAGAGATTCTAGTGGAATTACTCAAGCACAAGGTAAGTAAATCCTACCCTAAGTATGATTTAAGTTATGTTGTGTAGAGAACTTTCTTTATGCATATATATGTGTTATATGTAAAATTGTTGATGGATTTGGTGTTGAATAATGATTAGAACCTATCCATGAGAAGTTGTGTTGGTGTAGTTGTTATTTGATGAATGTTTGGATGAGATTTGGAAGAATCGAAGTGAAAATTTTGAATTGTGTATTTTGGGCAGATTTGGTGTTAATTATGGAGGAGTTTATTCCAAATTTTTGGTGGCCTAAAATAGAGATAGAAGTGTAGCCAAATTAGTGTTGATTTGTGCACATGAATTGTTTGATGAAATGCCAAATAGAAGTGCGTGTATGAGAATGATTATGTGTTACTTTGGGATGAGTTTGTAGATGGCAGAGAATGATAGTTTGCATTCCATAATGCATAATTGCATTTAAATATGTTGAATTTAGAAATAATTATAAGCATGAAACCATCAACATGCATACATATTCATAAGAGCATGAAAAGGCCCTAAAATATGTTAAAGAGAAAATAGAAAGAAGTGAGAATATTAAAGATATTCAAATCTGATTTTTTCTTAAAGAAGTGTAAAAAAAAAGATAAAAAGAAGAGAAGGTTGCTGCAATGGGGAGCCGTGAGTGACATAGTCCCACATGCATACCGCCTTTAGTGAGCGGCCTCAAAATTTAGAAAGAAGAATTGTATAGTCCGTTAGCAGTGTGTTTGGATGAGAACTGTACCCAGAATTAGAGAATTCACTCACAAGGCCAAGGCTCCAAATTCATGCCTCAACCAAGTCCGATCGGCAAGAATAGAAAGAAAGAAAGCAAGAATAGAAAGAAAGAATAGAAAAGAAAGAAAGAATAGAAAGAAAGACTAGAAAAGAAAGAAAGAAATAAAGAAAAAGAAACAGAATAAGAATAAGAAAAATAAAAAAGAAAATGCATAATCTATGCATTTGTGCATTTGCATAATGAATATGCATAATACTATGCTCATTATCGTGAGTAGTGAAAAATTAGAAAATTGAGAGAAAAATAGTGAGCAAAACAGAGAAAGAATGAGAAAGAACAGAGAAAGAATAGAGAATAATCGGGAAGTATGATGTACGGAAAAAAAATTCATCATTTAAGCAACGGAGAGAGAAGGGTAGCATATCAGGTTTACTTATTGAGTCATTAGTGCTCACCCCATTGTTTTTAATGTTTTGCAGGTAATAGATGAGTTATAGTTGCTCGGAACGTCACGCAGTGGAAGGGTTGGGTTACACTGTCAAGTTGCTACTTTTTAGAACATTTTGTAAATATTTGTATATAAAGAAAATTAAATATGGGCCCATACTTTATTACTCGTATATATATGTGTATTTTCTTATATATATATTTTTAATGAGTTTTATTGATTATTTTACGAGTATACTAGCTAGAAAGAAAGCATTACACCTAGGATGAACGCCTTCTTAAAATCTATTGATGAAAGGGCTTGGAATGCTTGTGTCGCTGGTTGGAAAGAACCACAAGTTGTGATTGAACAAAGAGGTAGCAAGGGGAAACCCCTAGATCAATGGACCAAAGCTGAGTTGGAAAAGTCTAATTTCAACTCTAAAGCTCTCCATGCACTCTTTAATGTTGTCAGTATTGGCCAAATGAAAAATATAGCCAATTGTGAAACAGCTAAAGACTCATGGGACAGACTCCAAGTTAAGAATGAAAGAACTGACATGATTAAAAAGATCAGACTTAGGAGATTGATTACTGATTATGAAAACCTGTTTATGCATGATGATGAGTCTATCACTGATTTTCATGGTCGATTGTGTGATATCACAAATGAATGCTTTCCTTTGGGTAAGATCTATACTGATGTTGAACTTGCTAGGAAAGTCTTATGTTCATTGCCTATGAAGTTCATGTCTAAAGCAACCTTTATCGAAGAATGCCAAAATCTGGATGAGATACAGCTGGATAAACTCATTGGATCACTTCAGACTTTCAAACTCAATCTGAAACAATGGGAGAAGAAACCAGGAAAGGGTCTTGCTCTAAAGTATGAGGTAACATCTGAACCTACTCTTAGTGTTGTTTCTAGTGATGGTGAGGAAGATGAGTGCGCTTTGCTCACAAAAAAATTTGCTAAATTCTTGAAAAAGAATATGAGAAAGCCTAAGTTGAGGTTGTTAAACAACCTTTTCTAAAGAAGTCCACTAATCAGGTTGGTCAAAGTGCCTTCTCGAAACGATTTTCGAGAGATAATGACAAAAAAAAAAAAAAAAAAAAAAGACATCAGGTGCTATGAATGTGAAGGGTATGGACACATTCAATCAAAATGTGGGAACACTCTAAAGAAAAAAGAAAAAGTCATGGCTGCCACTCTAAGTGAAAGTGAGGATACTGAGAGTGGATGTGATGACACGAATGAGGATGAGAATTTCTTGGCCTTTACAGCTAACCAAGAGGATAATAGTAGTGTGTTCTCAGATGACTCAAGTGATATTTATAAAGAACAACAAGAGGCTTATGACAAGATGTATGAGTCAGAGGCGAAAGCCATCAAGAAGATCAAATCTCTTGAATTTGAAAACTGCACCGTAACTGAAGATAAAAAACTATTGAATGATAAGTTGAATGCCTTGTTTATTGATTTATCCAACAAGGAACTCCTATTAAATCAAGCTTAATGCCATTGTTGAAAGATTGAATGTAGGTTCTTTTAAACTTGATGAAGTTCTTGGCCAAGGGAAGTCTTTTGGTGACAAAACTGGATTGGGTTTTTCTCCTAAAGCAAGTTCTTCCAAACCTGGTGTGACCACTTTCATTAAAGTGAGCACCTCGAAACCAGTTTTGATTGATGCATTGATTTTACAACATGCAATCTGTAGCAAGTGCACTAGTCGCAAAAAGTAATAAAGTAATAAGTAGAGTATCGTTCCCACAAGGATTGTGTGTTAAGCACTGATTTTCCTAGTTTTGTATCAAGTTAGAGTAAAT